CCCCCCCTCCCCCCCCCCAAGCTGTCGGGAAGGGCAGGTGGGGTCCCCAGGGCAGGGCACCACACAATGGGTCAACTGGGGCAGAGAGATCAGGTGAGTAAGGTGAAGGTGGCTGGAGCACAGGGGCTGCCATGGGGCCTGCCTGCAGCGTCTGGGTACCTGATGAAGTCGCTGTACTCCATCCAGAAGACGCCTTCGCTGCTCCCATGTGGCATGAGCTCGCTGCGCAGGTGCCCTGGCCAGTGCGGCCACTCATCGGACCAGCTGCCGTTCCAGGAGAAGCGGCCCCACGGGTTCCGGAGACGCAGGAGCCTGCGGACCACAGGGCTGAGGGCCATGGCCGTGCCCCCACCGCCTCCACCACACATCCACCCGGCCCCTACCTGGAGCCCTGGACGTCCCGGACATCTAGAATGGAGTAGGCGTGGCGGGGACGCAGGCCCAGGCTCTCGTACGTGGCATCGTCCACCTTCATGTTACCCCCACCACAGGAGGCACCCATGAGGAACCTGCACGGGCAGAGCAGCCTCAGCGACTGGGGGCCCTTAGTAAGCAGGAGCCTCTCTGCTGGCCCTGCCCCCCAGTGGGTGGGGGGATAGGAGGAGAGCGGAAGGTAGCAGGGGTGGGGGGAGGGAGGTCCTGCCTGTGGGACCCTCATGAGACACAGGGGACTCGGGAAATTGCTGGCCCAGCCCCCTCCACTGTGGTCCAGGAGCTCAGAGGCCTTGGGCTCCAGTCCCCACAAGCCTCCTGAGGCTGGCTGGTCCTGCCGGCTCCGGGCTGTGGCCCTCGGAGGGCAGCAATACTGCCCACTATCAGCCGAGAGCACAAAGCCGTCTCTCCCAGGCCTAAGGTTCTGAGCCCTTCCCACAGACACACTGGCCAGCGCGTGCCAGGTCTTAGAAGGGAAACCCCACTCCCACCAGGTGCCTCCGTGGGGCTCTCTCTCCATGTGGCTCCGAGTGGGCCCTGGCAGTCACCAGAGGCCCAACTCAGGATGAGGCCTTCCAGGTCAGGCCAATGGGCAGCATCCTGCCTGCCGTAAGAGATGCTGGCGAACTTGAGGTGCAGGGTGTGGGCCAGAGGGCGCGTGTCCCGGTTCTCCCACCGCTCCAGGCCCCGGCCTGGCCGTCCCCTTGTCTCGCCTCTCCTCCCAACGCCGCTGACCGCCACAGCGCCCGCCCCTCTTACCCAGCCTCCTTAGAACTCAGCATTTTGGCCCAGATGAGGTCAGTGTCAACGGGCTCCTCGCGGGGGTTAGTGGAGCTGACCTGCAGCGCCAGGCTCTCACAGGGGGCACCGGTGAGCGTGGCCAGGCCTTCGATGGCGCGCCCCGCCTGGAGGGCGAAGTAGGAGCCGTGCAGCTTGGCCAGCGCCTTCTCGATGAGCGCCACCCACAGCTGCTTCCGCTGAGCCTACAGGGAGGGGCTGGAGTCGAGAGGCCTGGCGCCCGCCGAGACCCATGATGCCCGCCCCAGGCCCCCCCCCCCGTCCCGCCACCTGGGAGAAGAGGAGGAAGCCGGCCTCGTCGCAGGGTAGCATGTCGTCCACCAGCACTGTCGTCCACGTGCCGTCCTTGCAGAGCCGCACCTGGTAGGCGCCCTCTGCACACAGGCTGCGTGTGACCATCACCCGCTCGACCAGGTCAGGCCGCTCGGCCAGCACGGCCAGAGCGCTCAGGAACCTGTACGGAACCAGGGCCTTGCTGTGAGCACACTGGGCCTTCCGCCGCCCAGCCCCCTGTGGGCGCCCCGCTCACCAGCAGTTCCCCAGCAGCCCCTGCAGGATGTCCGAGGGCCGGAGAGTGTGGAACACGGACCACGAGGCGTTGTGGTCCCTGGAGACGGAGCAGTTGATCTCGTGGGGCCGCAGCCACTGCCGCACACGCTGCTGGACGCTGTCCCCCGCGGGGAAGCCCACAGACTTGGGCCCAGGGGGGAAGCTGTCATCCACGAAGTTCACACTGTTCTGCAAGGGCCATGGCCTCACACTCAGTCTCCTCCTGGCTGAGGCCAGAGCCAGCACTCTAAAGATGCTGCCTGAGCCCCAGAAGCAAGAGGGTGGGTATGTGCAGCCACCCTGACCGATCTGGAGGTCCTGGCCAAGGCTTTGTGTGAGCCACACCACGCCATGTGGACACGGGGGACACTGCACATCCCCAGCCTGGAAGTTACAGGGATGGCAGGCATGGGGGTGCGGAGAACCTGGGATGGGGAAGCCAGGGCACAAACCCCCAGACAGGCTGTCAGGGTGGGCTGCTGGCAGTGATGGGGGCAGCAACCTGAGGGGGGACAGACAGTCCCTCCAAGTGACGTGGGGGGCAATGCTCCCCTGGACTCAGGACCCCCACAGCTACAAGGGCAGAAGAGAGTGAGGAAGTGTCCCAACCCCGAGTTTCCGCAGGGTCTCCCTGGCTGGAGGAGGCACCAGGCCTGCCTGTGGCAAGAAGCCTGCACCTGTGTCCCCACCTCCCCGTGGCTTCACCATCTACGGGAAATCACAGCCGAGAAGGGTCAGGAGTACAGACCCTCATGCGTAGACAGATCAAAGGGCAAGGGGTAGGAGACCAGGCTGGTGCACAGAGCTTGGGGAAGAGAGTGCTGGTGCTGTCCCTCCGGCCAGAGGAGGACCACCCAGAAAGGACAGAAGGTGCAGACACCTTGGTCGGGGGACGGGGCGGGGGGTGGGGGTGGGGGGGCGCCACAAAGAGGAGACGTCTGTGGAAGCAGAGTGCCAGACCCGGAGCGGGGCCACCATCAGCAGGGCGCTCACCTCCCGGCAGAAGGCCACGATGTTTTCCCAGAGGGCCTTGGCCTCGCCCTCATCGGTCTGCCGCCGCTTCTCCACGTGCATGCTCTCCCTGCGCCTCAGGGGCGCGACGCCCCGGCGCTGGGCCACCAGGAGCTGGGGCGTGTGACAGGCGGCACAGTGCTTGGCCCTGGGCGTGTTGAGCAGAGTGCAGGCAGGGCAGGCCCACTGGCCTGGGCGCTCGGGCGGCCCCACGAGAACCGGGCAGCTGGCCTTGTGGGCTGAGCAGGGACCGGACTTCTCGGCGCTGCAGTCGGGGCAGCGGGTGGGGGGCTCACCGTGCTCCTGGAAGCCATGCAGCTTGGAGCAGCCGCACGCGGTGCATCTGGGGGCTGCCGTGGGGTTCCGAAGTGTGCACTTGGCGCATGACCAGGTGGTGAAGTCGGGGCTGGAGGGGCTGGCTGGCTTGTAGCGCACAGTGTCTCCAGCCAGGTCAATGACGTCGCTGCCCGGCACAGCACCGCAGGCCTCGCAGCGGGCAGGGCTCGCGGGGCCGGGCACAGAGCAGGAGCCACACCGGTGCGGCGCAGGGCCACCCTCAGTGGCCTCCTCCTCCAGCATGCTCAGCCTTTTGCTTGACAGCAGCTCTGCCAAGCGGGAGGCCCCGGCTGCGGTCCGCCCTGGGCCCTGGGGGGGCCCCTTGGAGCCGGCAGTGGGTGAGGGCTGGGTGGCCTCAGGCACCAGTGGCTGCAGCTGGGGGGGAACCTCGCGGCGGCTGCGAGGCACAGGGTTGTTCTGCAGGGTGGGCGAGAAAGGACTGAAGGACGGCACCCGGGGGGGCTCCTGGTCGGTGGCAGAGGGAGGGTCAGCTTCGGCACCTTCCCCGGGCTGGGGTGGGGCAGGTATGACGTGGAAGCCGGCGGGGGCCACGATCTCGGGGACCACCAGGGCCTCGGGAGGGATTCTGGGCAGCGAGAGTTTCCGGGGGCCTCCGCAGGCCGAGCAGGAGCTGGCCACGGGCGTGTTGTGCAGTGTGCATCGCTGGCAGGCCCAGCCACTCCCAGGCTCTGCTGCCCTCTCCTGCTCCTCCTCCTCTAACTCCTCTTCCTCCTCCTCCTCCTCCTCCTCGGGCCGCCCCCGAGCTGGCTCTGAGGCCGCCAGCCCCACCGTCCGCACGGGGCCGGCTTCCTCCTTGCAGCTGCCCCTGGGCTCCGCCAGGACCCCATTGATGATGGGCAGCAGGGACGTGCCGGGCACAGGCTCTGGGGCAAAGCCGCACACCTCGCAGGTCTCCTTGCCCAGGAAGTTCCGGAACGTGCAGCGGGCGCAGGGCCATTTCTGCTCCTCCACGCTGAGCCGGAGGATGTGGTCGAGGTCAGGCTTGTGCCGGGGGGCCTCACAGATGGAGCACTGGCGCTGTCCGGCTGGGTTCAGGAAGGTGCAGCGCACACAGGACCACTCCCCAATCGCGGCCATGGACCCAGGAGAGTGCGTGTGGCTGCAAGGGAAGGTCCTGATCAGTGCAGGCCCGAGTGTCCACCTGGGACAAAGGGGTTGAGCCGCAGGGTCTGTGTCCTTCTGGGCTGTAACAGACATCGGCCCCATGAGCGCAGCCTATGAGGGGCTCGAGGATTCTGAGGAGTCAGGAGCCCTCAAGGCCTCCAAGCGACCTCACAGGTCTGTCCTCAGACCCCTTCTGGAGGGGCAGACCTGTGGGGACAGAGCAACGGGGTCAAGACACGCTACCCTAGTGGCCACGGCGCTCTGCTGGGGAGGCGGGCAGTCTTTAGCCAGTTCCAGGAGAGAGTATGAGTGAACTTCCTGGACGGGAAAAAGGGCATCCTCAAAAATCTACAGCGAACATCACACCCAGAGGTGACACGCTGAGTGCTTTCCTCCCAAGACCAGGGGCTCAGCACTGCTGGTCAGCATTGTACTCGAGTCTCAACCAGAGCAGTTAGGCAGGAAAAAGAGGTAAGAGGCATCCAACTGGAAAGGAAGAAGTAACACTACCTCTATTTGCAGAAATCCCAAGAATCCACAAAAAATATACTAGAGTTGGGGCGCCTGGGTGGCGCAGTCGGTTAAGCGTCCGAC